AATCGTGAACAGACAGCGGTTGCTTGATGCGTGGCGCCTCCAACATCCCGCACAGCTCCAATACACGTGGTGCAGGTGCGGCGCTCAGGGGCGGATCAGCCTCGCGAGGCTCGACCGCCTCTGCATCAGCCGGGACCGGGCCAACCTGCTCGGCGAGAGTCGGGTGGTCCCGACGGGTTTCTCTGACCACCACAAGGTCACCGCACGGCTGCACCCCCCCCTGGTCGAGCGGCGCAGCCCGTACTGGCGACTCGACCTGCGTCTACTGGAGAACGCCGACTTCCAGGCGGCCTTCAGGGCCCTCTGGAGGGAGTGGGAAACGCGCAGGGGGGCCTTTGAGTCCCCCCTACAATGGTGGGATAACGGGAAGGCCCAGGTGGCGACGCTGTGCCGGCGTTTCGCGAGCCAGCACGCGGCGGTCGGGCGGGAGGAGGACCGACTGTGGAACGAGCTGCTGGCGCTGGAGGCAGAGCTGGGCTCGCCCCAGGCCAGGGTAACCCACCACGCACTCCTGGAGCAGCAGCGGCTGCTCAGGGCAGTATCGGACCAGGCAGCCTATGAGGCTTTCTTAAAGCAAAGGATGCAGCATCTCGTCCAGATGGACGCGCCGACAAAACTCTTCTTCAGGCAAGGGGGACGGCCGAGTACCAGGAACGTCGTCTCCAGGTTACAGGCCCCCGGCGGAGAGACTCACACCAGCGACGCGGGCATCGCAGGGGTAGTCCAGGGCTTCTTTGAGGCGCTGACCACCGCGGAGGGCGTCCAAGGGGAAGCCCTGAACGAACTACTGGAGGGCGTCCCCACACTGACCCCCCCCCCCCCCCCCCGCGAGGGAGCAGCTGGAGGGAGCGCTCACCCTCCGGGAGCTGGAGGTGGCAGTGAGGGGCCTCGCTGCGGGGAAGACGCCGGGGATCGACGGCCTGCCGGCCGAGTTCTTTAAGGTCTTCTGGAGCGAACTCAGGCCTTCCCTGAGCGAGGTCCTGAACGCGAGCCTAGCGGCGGGAGAGATGCCGCACAGCAGCAGGAGGGCGGTGGTGACGCTGGTGCCCAAGAAGGGGGACCTCGGATGCATCGCCAACTGGCGGCCGGTGTCCGTCCTCTGCACGGACTACAAAATAGTGGCCAGGGCGCTGGTCAACCGGCTGAAGAGCACGGCCGGGAGGGTGATACAGTCTGGCCAGACGTACTGCGTTCCGGGGCGCTCCATCCACGACAACATAGCCGTAGTACGGGACGTGGTGGAATTGGCGACGGCCCACGGGATAGAAACGGGCCTCCTCTTCCTGGATCAGGAAAAGGCGTTTGATCGGATGGACCACGGGTACCTGTACGCAGTGCTCAAAGCCTTTGGGTTTGGCGAACAGTTCGTGGCGTACATAAGGCTCCTGTACACAAAGGCGTCGAGCCTGATGAAGGTGAACAATAAACTCAGAGCCCCTCTGGCAGTCACGAGGGGGATCAGGCAAGGGTGCCCACTCTCGGGACTGCTGTACGCGCTCTCCATCGAGCCGCTCCTGTGCAGGCTGAGGCGCACCCTGTCTGGCCTCCAGATTCCGGGGCCGGGAACCGCCGAGGTCCGGCTCTCGGCGTACGACCTCTGTGTGGTGATTAAAGATGCGCGTGACGTGGAGGCGGTCCGCGGGGCGGTCCGCCTCTACGAAGGCGCCTCCTCTGCGAGGCTGAACTGGGCGAAGTGTGAGGCGCTGGCCCTGGGGCCAAGGGGTGCGGTGCGCGCCCTGGCGCTCCCGTGAGGTGTGGAGTGGGGAACGGGGGGCGTCAAGTACCTCGGGGTGCACCTGGGTGACCCCGCCACCGAGGCGAAGAATTAGGCCGAAGTGGCAGACAAAATCTCGGAGAAACTGAAAACGTGGGCCAGGCTCTCTCCACAGATGTCGTATAGGGGTAGAGTCCTCGTGGTGAACAACCTGGCGGCGGCTCTGTTATGGCACAAAGCAAAAGTGCTCCACCCGCCGGAGTGGCTGATGGTTCGAGCGCAGAGCGCCTTCACTTCCTTCGTTTGGCACGGGCGGCACTGGCAGAGGCCGGGCGTCCTCTGTCTGCCGGTGGAGGAGGGAGGCCAGGGCCTTGTCAGTGTCGCCAGCCGGGTGATGGCTTTCAGAATCCAACACATACAGCGTCTGGTGTACGGGGAGGGGGAGCAGCCCTGGCGGTCCCTGGCCCTCGGCCTGCTGAGACAGGCCGGGCGGCTTGGGTACGGCCAGGAGCTCTTCCTGACCGACATGGGGCTCGTCGACCAAGCCCCGCTATCGACCTACTACCGCAGCCTCCTCGACGCGTGGCGCAGCATCGAGTGGGCTAGGCTCCCCGAGGGGTACGGCGCGGCCCTCTTTGTGAGGGAGCCGCTGTTTGCTAACCATCCTTTCCAGGGACTGAGCGCGGAACGCACCCTGGCCCTGCGGTTCGTGGCGGGGGGCGTCAGGACGGTCGGCGACCTGCTGAACCCCGGCCGGCGGTCGTGGCGGACGGCGCTGGCGATCGCGGAGGCGGCCGGGCTCCGCACAGTGCTCGCGGGTGCCGGGGTGCTCCGGGTAGTCCTGCGAACGATGCGGGGACTCGCGGTGAGACTGGAGAACGCGGGCGGTGGGGAGGGCCCTTCCTCCCCCCCGCTGGCTCTCTCTTGCCACGCCCCCCCCCCGGCCGCGAGGACGCCGGGAAGCTGTTGAAGGTGGAGGGGTGCAGGGGCATGCCGTTGAAAGTCGCGCACAAGAAGAGCGTCTACGCCGTCTGTGTCAGGGCCCTGCTCAGCGGGGACCTGGGCGACCTGGCGGACACGAAGTGGAGAGGGCACTTCGCAGTGCTGTGCGACGACCCCCCCCCCAGTGGCGGGACCTTTACCGCCCCCCCACGACCAAGCGATGCGGAGACCTACAGTGGAGGCTGGTGCCCCAGACTCTGCCAACCGCAGTGTGGGTGAGCCGGGTCGCGCCGGGGGCCTCGGACAAGTGTGCATTTTGCGAACAGACGGAGGACATCGTTCACCAGTACCTCCAATGCAAGAGGCTGGCGCCGTTGTTTCGTTTTATAGCGCGGACATTCGAGAGGCTGGACATCCCACTCCGGGAGAACAGTTTCGTGTACGGGGTGAGAGGGGAGACGAGCGACAAACGAGACGTCGCAAACTTCGTGTATGCTCAGGCCAAATTGGCTATATACATGACGCGCAAACGGAAGCTGGAGGGAGACGGCGGTGGCGGCGGGGTGCTGGCGGCAACCCAGGCCCTAGTGAAGGCGTAGCTCGGACTCGAGTTCGCATATTACAGGCACACCGGCGGGAAGGGCGAATTCCTGGCGAAGTGGGGGCGCGCGAGGACCGCCCTGTGCCGAGTTGAACGGGGCGCGCTTGTCTTTACGTTTGACCCCCTCCCCGACCCTCCCCCCCCCCTCCCCCCCCTCCCCCCCCCCTGCCCCCCCCTGACGCCCCCCACCACGCGCCTGGCGTGGATGATGCCTGAGCGCATTTGGACACGGGAGTTTTCTTTTCCACTGATTTGCTGTGGGTGACGGCGTGAGTGCCGCCGCCCAGCGTGGTTTTTGTTTTCCCCCAATGAGTCGCTGGCTGATTTGTATTACCACACCAAGGCTCCGCTGCACGTACAGCAGGAAGCCTGAATAAAGGCGACTAAAAAGTCAAAAGTCTCTCTTCACTCTCTCTCTCTTCACTCTCTTCTCTCTTCACTCTCTCTTCACTTTCTCTCTCTCTTTACTCTCTTCTCTCTCTCTTCACACTCTCCTCTCTCTCTACACTCTCTTCACTCTCTCTTCACTCTCTTCTCTCTCTCTTCACTCTCTTCACTCTCTCTCTCCACTCTCTCCTTTTTTTTTTACGATCAGAAGAAGCAAGAAGATGCTCGGTTTAGTCGGCACTTTGCTCCGTTCATCATTTCGTTTTTAATGCTTTGCTTTATGTAACCCCCCCCCCCCCTTTTAGGTGAAAGACCCAACATTTTTTTCTTTCCCCTTCCCTCTCTCTCTACCCCTCTCTGCCCCCCCTCTCTCTCTACCCCCCTCTCTGCCTCTCCTCTCTCTCTACCCCCTCTCCGCCCCCCTCTCTCTCTGCCCCCTCTCTACCTGCTCCATTTGGCTCTCTCGCTCTTTTTTATTTATAACTACGACAAGTGCTGCATCTGCACGCAGCCCTTCCCACAGTCAAACGGCCTCCGACGAGTAGCTTAGATCTGCATGCAGAGGTCTCCGTCATCTGCCACCGAGCACACGGCCTCCTCCAGCGCCCACTGCTCCTTGAAGGCCGGCACGGTGTGGGTCAGCCGCGCGTGGCGGAACACCAGCTACACCCAGGCTCCGACCAGAGCGCGGAAGATGCCCAGGCTGCTAGCTGGACGTTGCCCCTCCAGGGCCACCTTCCTCGCCCTGTATATGGCGAGCTTGGCGTAGCCGAAGAGCACATTGACCAGCCCCTGAAGATGTTGGGGTCCGTCACCCTTCGGGTATCCAAAGATGAGGACCGTCGGGGAGAAGTGGAGGCTGAACCTTAGGAGGATGTTTCTCAGGACCTTGAACAGCGAGTCCAGGCTCTTGCACTCCACGTATTAGTGCGCCACCGTCTCCAATTTACCGCAGAACCGGCACTCTGGGGACGTGTCGGTGAAGCGCGCTAGGGAGATGTTGGTGGTGACGGTGCCGTGGGCGATGCTCCAGCTGAGGTCGCCGATGCGGTTGTACGTCGGTCTGCAGTAGAGTTGCCTCCAGCGAGGCCTCTCCGGAGAGACAAAGGGCAGGGCTTTCCTCCAGGCATGGTCCTTGTGGCTCCTCAGGGTGTCCTGTTGGTGGAACCAGACCATGTAGGAGTAGAGCACCTTCCTCTTTACATTTGCGAAGGCCACCTCCAGTAGGTCTTCTAGCCGGCACAGGTTGTGATCCGCCTTCGTTTGTCGGCATTGGCGATGCAGTGGCACGACTGAGAGTCTCAGTCTCCTCTCTCTCTCTTCACTCACTCCTCTCTCTCTTCACTCTCTCCTCTCTTTTTTTTTCAAGATTTACAACAAAAATTTTATTCACGCAAATACAGGAAAGAAAAATAACGGACCGCATCTGGCATACACAAAAAAACAACATAACTTCTGTCGACAGCCATTGAAATCCAGACATCTCCTTGACATTGCGCTCAACGCACATCAAACACGACCAATCTTCTGGTTCTTTTCTTGTACATTATCCTGTATCCACACTCTCGGCATCGGATTGGATCCCTTGCCTTAATTTCATTTTCGGTATGGCACTCTCCACAAATGTAAATCATCGGTTGTTGCTTTGCTGGTTGTGCATCCTTGTTAGAATCCATGTGAGCGCAGTCGGTATAGGGAAGCTCCCTGCTGGCGCACGTGGGTCACGCGCTTCTCTCTCGCACCCCTCTCTCTCCCCTCTCTCTCCCCTCTCTTTTTTTTTACGATCAGAAGAAACAAGAAGATGCTCGGTGTAGTCGGCACTTTGCTCCGTTCATTATTTCGTTTTTTTAATGTTTTGCTTTATGTAACCCCCCCCCCCCCCCCTTTAAATGAAAGACCCAAAAAATGTTTATTTCCCCTTCCCTCTCTCTCTACCCCCCTCTCTGCCCCCCCTCTCTCTCTACCCCCCTCTCTGACTCTCCTCTCTCTCTACCCCCTCTCCGCCCCCCCCCCCCCCTCTCTCTCTCTGCCCCCTCTCTTCCTACTCCATTTGGCTCTCTCGCTCTTTTTTCTTTATAACTACGACAAGTGCTGAATCTGCACGCAGCCCTTCCCACAGTCAAACGGCCTCCGACGGGTAGCTTAGATCTGCATGCAGAGCTCTCCGTCATCTGCCACCGAGCACACGGCCTCCTCCAGCGCCCACTGCTCCTTGAAGGCCGGCACGGCGTGGGTCAGCCGCGCGTGGCGGAACTCCAGCCACACCCTGGCTCCGACCAGAGCGCGGAAGATGCCCAGGCTGCTGGCCGGACGTTGCCCCTCCAGGGTCACCTTCCTCGCCCTGTATATGGCGAGCTTGGCGTAGCCTCTCTCTCTCCTCTCTCTCCTCTCTCTTCACTCTCTCTCTTCACCCTCTCTCTCTCCTCTCTCTCTCTTCACTCTCTCTCCTCTCTCTTCACTCTCTCTCTCTGAGCGCGCTCGGGGGAGGCTGCATCCATGTGGAGCTCCGCGCTGCACACCTGGAACAATGGGGGCCTAGTCATTTCAATCAATTAGGCCAAGCCTGAGAGAGAGTTTTCCAAAGAGGAACAAAACAAACGTGACTCCCCTCCTTTTTTTCTTCCCGTATTGCTTTATAATATACACACTTTATTTGGGCTTTTTTATTTTATTTTCCCTTAGTTCCTTTTATTTTTTATTTTTTACTCACGGGGAAGCTCGAGCGAAAATCCGCCTCGATCGACCCAGGAGTTGCACACAAGGTAGCAGCAGCAGCAGCAAGAACAACAAGGACGCGCGCGCAGGTGTGCTGTAGCCGGCTATCATCATGGCACAGCACACCAAATTGGAGAGCCTCACGAGGCGGAATGGGGTCGTCGTTTTTCCGCCGACGGAGGTCGCCGTCGACGCCGTCGCCGCCGCGGTGGCAACGAGCGTGGGCCACGCCAACGTCCTCGCCGCCCAGCACCAAAACCGCGGCGTCACCATCTACGTGGCGGAGGAGGCGATGGTGGCGAGCCTCGTGGAGACGGGGCTCACTGTCGGGGACCTGTTCCTGCCGTGCACGCCGCTCTCCACGCCCGCCGTCCGCGTGGTGCTCTCGGGAGCGCCGCCGTTCCTGAGCAGCGAAGTCCTGCGCAAGGATCTGCAGCGCTTCGGGACGGCGGTGTCTAGGATCCCCATGCTCCCTCTACGGACGAGGGACCCAAGGTTGGCGCATGTGATGTCGCTCCAGCGCCAAACGTTCATGGTCTTAACGGGTGGCAACACAGAACTGGACGTTACCCTTAAATACACAATCGATGGGTGCGTCTATACTGTTTACGCCTCGACAGCTGCGCCGCGGTGCTTCGGGTGTGGGGCTACAGGCCACACCCGGAGGAACTGCACGGACAAGAAAAACGAGGACGTTGCCGCCGCGCCACCAGCGGCAGCGGGCTCGGAGCGCCGGCGGCAGCAGGCACCGCGACAGCAGCAGCAACAACAGCTGCAACAGCGGCAGCAGCAACAGCAGGAGCAACTGCTACAACAGCCGCAACAGCAGCAGCAACAGCCGCAACAGCAGCAGCAACAGCCGCAACAGCAGCAGCAGCAGCAGCGGCAGCCACGACAGAAGCAACAGCAGCAGCAACAACAGCCGCTGCAGAAGCAGCACGCGCCCGACCAAGCTGACTCCGAAGACGAACCCATGGAGACGGCACCGGAGGGGGAAGGGGATGGCTACACCCTGGTCGTGTCGCGGAAGCGCAGAGCTGGCCCCGCAGCGGTGACGCGCGCAGGTGAACAGCCCAAACGAGTGGCGCTCGCTGGCATTAAAGGCAGGGGCGAGCCGCACGACCGCCGGGAGGCGGGGGGAGCGGGTGAGCCCGAGCCGAGAAGCAAGGCAACCGACGAGGACCGCGACGCGCGCGAGGACTCTGACGGCGAGGAGCGGATGGGGACCGACGGTGACGGCGATAGAGAAGAAGTTTACGACGGTTCGTGGGGGGGTCGAGGGGGCGACGGAGTACACCCCTGCCGCGATACGCCGCTTCCCGCAGGCCAAGTTCGGGAAACGGGGGTTTAAAGTTGAAGCCACCTTCCCGGACGTGAAGCGATTCATGAAGGTGGCGCAGGGGGTCTGCCAGGCGCCCCGGGTGTGCGGTCACACCCCTAGGGAGGTCTTCCGCCTGAAGGTGATGCTACAGCAGCTGAAGAAGCAGTACCCCCCCCTCCCCCCTATCCCGGAGTGAACACCAGATGCCTGCCACGACAAACACCGCCAAGGCGACGGGTATCTGTGTCGCGACCTTGAATTGTAACAGCGCCCGCAGTGATGCACGGTGGCGACGCGTGTGTCAGTTCCTGGAAGACACGAAAGTGGATGTGGCTCTGCTCCAAGAAACTCATCTCGACCCCGCGCTGCTGGCCCAACGGCAGCACCGTTTGGGAGGCCGGACGTTTTTTAGTCACGGGGAGGCGGGCAGGGCGGGGGTCGCGATAGTCTGCAGCCCAAAGTTGAACCCGGACAGCGTGACCTTTACGGAAGCGGTGAGAGGACACCTGGTCACGGCGGACATTGCGCTCGCCGGCACCAGGCTGAGGCTTGTCAATGTGTACGCGCCGAGCGCAAGCCGTGACAGGGAGTCATTCTTCGCGGGCGCACTGCGGAACGCACTGGGGGAGGCTGCCGCGGACGGGGTGATCACCGTCGTAGGCGGAGATTTTAACTGCACCCTAAACCCGGCCCTCGACCACAACAGCGTTGAACCCCACCCGAAGGCCGCGAGGGCACTGGCCGAAATCGTGAACAGACAGCGGTTGCTTGATGCGTGGCGCCTCCAACATCCCGTGCAGCGCCAATACACGTTGTGCAGGTGCGGCGCTCAGGGGCGGATCAGCCTCCCGAGGCTCGACCGCCTCTACATCAGCCCGGACGGGGCCAACCTGCTCGGCGAGAGTCGGGTGGTCCCGACGGGTTTCTCTGACCACCACATGGTCACCGCACGGCTGCACCCCCCCCTGGTCGAGCGGCGCAGCCCGTACTGGCGACTCGACCTGCGTCTACTGGAGAACGCCGACTTCCAGGCGGCCTTCAGGGCCCTCTGGAGGGAGTGGGAAACGCGCAGGGGGGGCTTTGATTCCCCCCTACAATGGTGGGATAACGGGAAGGCCCAGGTGGCGACGCTGTGCCGGCGTTTCGCGAGCCAGCACGCGGCGGTCGGGCGGGAGGAGGACCGGCTGCGGAACGAGCTGCTGGCGCTAGAGGCGGAGCTGGGCTCGCCCCAGGCCAGGGTAACCCACCACACACTCCTGGAGCAGCAGCGGCTGCTCAGGGCAGTATCGGACCAGGCAGCCTATGAGGCTTTCGTAAAGCAGAGGATGCAGAATCTCGTCCAGATGGACGCGCCGACAAAACTCTTCTTCAGGCAAGGGGGACGGCCGAGTACCAGGAACGTCATCTCCAGGTTACAGGCCCCCGGCGGAGAGACTCACACCAGCGACGCGGGCATCGCAGGGGTAGTCCAGGGCTTCTTTGGGGCGCTGACCACCGCAGAGGGCGTCCAAGGGGAAGCCCTGAACGAACTACTGGAGGGCGTCCCCACACTGACCCCCCCCCCCCCCCCCCGCGAGGGAGCAGCTGGAGGGAGCGCTCACCCTCCGGGAGCTGGAGGTGGCAGTGAGGGGCCTCGCTGCGGGGAAGACGCCGGGGATCGACCGCCTGCCGGCCGAGTTCTTTAAGGTCTTCTGGAGCGAACTCGGGCCTTCCCTGAGCGAGGTCCTGAATGCGAGCCTAGCGGCGGGAGAGATGCCGCACAGCAGCAGGAGGGCGGTGGTGACGCTGCTGCCCAAGAAGGGGGACCTCGGCTGCATCACCAACTGGCGGCCGGTGTCCGTCCTCTGCACGGACTACAAAATAGTGGCCAGGGCGCTGGTCAACCGGCTGAAGAGCACGGCCGGGAGGGTGATACAGTCTGGCCAGACGTACTGCGTTCCGGGGCGCTCCATCCACGACAACATAGCCGTGGTACGGGACGTGGTGGAATTGGCGACGGCCCATGGGATAGAAACGGGCCTCTTCTTCCTGGATCAGGAAAAGGCATTTGATCGGATGGACCACGGGTACCTGTACGTAGTGCTCAAAGCCTTTGGGTTTGGTGAACAGTTCGTGGCGTACATAAGGCTCCTGTACACAAATGCGTCGAGCCTGATGAAGGTGAACAATAAACTCAGAGCCCCTCTGGCAGTCACGAGTGGGATCAGGCAAGGGTGCCCACTCTCGGGACTGCTGTAGGCGCTCTGCATCGAGCCGCTCCTGTGCAGGCTGAGGTGGACCCTGTCTGGCCTCCAGATCCCGGGGCCGGGAACCGCCGAGGTCTGGCTCTCGGCGTACGCGGACGACCTCTGTGTGGTGATTAACGATGCGCGCGACGTAGAGGCGGTCCGTGGGGCGGTCCGCCTCTATGAAGGCGCCTCCTCTGCGAGGCTGAACTGGGCGAAGTGTGAGGCGCTGGCCCTGGGGCCAAGGGGTGCGGTGCACGCCCTGGCGCTCCCGGGAGGTGTGGAGTGGGGAACGGGGGGCGTCAAGTACCTCGGGGTGCACCTGGGCGACCCCGCCACCGAGGCGAAGAATTAGGCCGAGGTGGCAGACAAAATCGCGGAGAAACTGAAAACGTGGGCCAGGCTCTCTCCACAGATGTCGTATAGGGGTAGAGTCCTCGTAGTGAACA